CGGCCTCACAGATATCAGTACTCGCCCTCCCCTTAGCGCACACCTCAGCCGTTGTGTTCACGAAGTCATATAACTTTTTACATTCATTTGAATCGAAAATATTTTGCTTCACTTTCTGTAGTATATCAGGTCTGTGACCATCTATGCGTGTTTTTTAATTATATTAGATTTTTAATTAAATATTTTATCACGATTAGTCTTGGTAACAAAGGTTTTCACGTTCACTCACGACGTTTACCAAGACTAATCAAGATTTAAATTTTAAAAACAAAATTTACAAACCATTGTCTATGTATCCAAAACCAGTGGCCATACAATCGTCAGTGAGTTTAGTGGTTGGTTTTGGGAGACAAATGGGTGCAAGTGTTTTATGTTTGTCATTGAAATCTAATGTTTCGCTCAGTTTAAGTAAAGCGATATCATTGGGAATCACGAGATCGTCGTATTTGATAATCTAGTTTATAAATATTAAAAATTAAAATCAGTTATAATTAGTTTAAATATTAGTCTAATTAAACAATAAAGCATAAAAACTGGTAGACATAAAGATAACATGATTACTAACTTTCTCTACTTTAACATCAAACTCATTGACGCCATAAGCGGTGCGATTATGAACCCCGAGACGGACCCTAACATTGGATATATTTTGAATGCTGACAACACAATGGGTGGCCGTTAAGACCCATCGGTCGTTGATTATGTTTCCGCCACAGAAATCATTGTTATCGGGCTGTAGGTTGAGAATGACCTGCCAGGGAAACTCACCCGGGGCTGTGTCGCTACCATTGATTACATTCATCCCTATGTCCACAGGTTTTGCCTGAGGTTTGCCACAAACTGGTGACAATTCATTGCAATTCACTATTAAGGCTATATTCAAGCAAAATATAGCAAATAATGGTATATTTGCTAACATTTTGATACTTTATTTTTTAATGAATGTTGAATTTTTAATCCACTATAATTTTATATGCAATTGATATCAGTTTGAGTACCGAAAACATGAGAAATATAACAGTTGTATTAGTTTCAAAACATTATTATTGTGAGTATATTGAAATTATATTTAAGAGTAACATACTGTACAAGCAAATTATATGGAAAATTATTATCCAGTACAAATATATTAACTGATGTTTTTTAAAACTATTTTTGATGTGTATTCTTATCTATAACACATTATTCTTGGAATTGTAGTATGACCTAGAACATTATAATGATGGACTATCATTGATAGTGTCACAATGTTTTCACTTTCAATTTTAAATAAAATAAAAATTAATCACTAAATATTTTTACACTTGATTTATTTAATGGTAGAGTTTCTAAATATAAAATAGATCATTTGATCTATTAATGTTTATCAGATAATGTTAGCAAATAAAATGATACTTCTATTGCAAAATATTCTTCATATATGAATTGTAGTTAAGAATAAGTTATGTATGAAGAAAATAAATAAAAATGTTTGCAATATTATTCAATTTATTTGTCTATTGTATTATCTGCAGTGATAAAGTCGTCACTCAATAATAATATCAGTACTTCATATAACGTTGAGTTTTGATTGTGTTTTTATAACAATATGTTTTATTTGTCACATATTTTAATCGTCAAGAAATAACAGTTTAGTTAAAACATAAGTATATAGTATTTAAATGTCTGACAAATGAGTTTTGTTTCAATAAAAACCTAAAATAAAGTGATGTCCACTTAATGAACAAATAATAAACTAATTATTTAACTCAAAATCTAATTCCCATTCACTTCGCTGTCAATCCACTCGCTGTAAGCGGAAACCTTTGTATAGACATCGGGTTCGCCGGGTTTGCCGCACGGGTCGGGTCCGTACGAGTTAATGCCGGCCAGAATCCACGCGCCCTCATTGGACAGGCACTGGAGGGGTCCGCCCCCATCGCCCACACAATTTCTAAAACCTCTAGAGGTGTCGCCAACACAATACTCGTTGTCTATATTCCACGAATACATCGGATCGTAAACATCGGCACACATTTGGGTGTCAATAATGGGTTGACTCGACTTTTGCAACACTTGTTTCTTCTCTATTGGTTTTTTGTTGAGAAAAAAAATATATTAATTTTTAAATAATTTTGACGCAGAATTTGGTTCATTACTGGTATCAGAGAGACTAAAACCGGTGACCACACAGTTGTCGGTCAGTTCGGTGTCTGCGGTGGCCAAACAAATGGGCGCCAAATGTTTGTGTTTGCCGTTGAAGTCCAGTTTGTCCTTCAATTGGAGTAACGCTATATCGTTAGTAACCATTCCCACGTCGTTCTCCGGGTGCACTACAATCTATGCCAATTAGGTTTTGTTAGTTTGTATGTAGTATTAATTTAAAACCTTATTTAGTTATCAAATCTATTATTTAAGCAACCTTTTTGATTTTAATGTTAGTATCGGCGCCCTCTTTGCGGTTATGAATGCCTAACTTAACGGTAAAACCGGAAAAGTCGTCAATAAAGACGACACAGTGAGCGGCGGTGAGAACCCAATTGTCGTTGATTATAGCGGCGCCGCAAATGTCTTTGCCTCCCGGCGTCGCGATGAGCGCCTGCCACGGAAACTCACCCGACATTGTATTCACAGCATCTCTTATACTAAAATCCGTGTCCACACCTCTGGCCTGAGATTTGCCGCAATTCTGAGAGCCATCGCAACTATTTTTATGGTAATTAATAATTAATAGTCAATTGTATAATAGTTATAGTTTTGAATTTTTGTTTAATTACTCGTTAAACTCAGTTTTCTCGCAATAATCGGCGCAAAGAACTAAATGTAAATTTAAGCACAGAATTAAAACTAATTGCAATTTGTTTAACATTTTTGTGAGCACTCGAGTGTAAGACTTACAGAAAGTTTTGTACTAATAAATTGAAATTTTTGTAGTTTTTTATACGACTGTCAAGTCTTAATAATTTTTGATGTGATAAATATTAATCCTCTGAAATCTGTGAAAATATATAAATGCATAGAAATATACGCCAAATATCAGAGACTATATTCTTAGATAATGGCGATTATGAAGGCATTTGTCCTTAAATATGTCAATAATTGTGTATTAGTTCGTTGTATACCAAATGTGTAGTTCAAACATATCATTTAATTTGTGACAAACTTATATTGTTTGTCGACTTTTATAATGATAAACATTTGTTCATATATTTTAAAACTTACTTTTATTGACTATTTATTGCAAAAATCTATTATGCAAATATTTTGTAGTTTATTTTGATTAGTATTATAACAGTTATCATAGATTAATAAAGTGAGAATTAATTTAATTCACACAGTAATTTAATATTAATTACTTTTTGCCTTGATGCTAATCATTTTAAAATTATAATTTTTGCAATTATTTTGTTAAAAATTAAAATATTAAACTCTAATAAACTTATTAACATTAGTACAAATTAATGATCACAATTAAAAATTATAGATTATGTATAGATTATAGATAAAAGTAAGTTTATAATCTGCTAGATATCACTTTCAATTTAATAATAAATAAAATTTATGCTATATTTCATTAAAATAGTTATTTAAAATAATATAAGCGCCTATAAGTGTATATTACTTTTAAATAGCGATTTAATAGATAACATGTTGATAAGGACTTAATTGTTAGCAATAGTATCTAAAATCCAATGGTCAAAACCGGCCACACGAGTGAACACATCTGCATATCCGGGTTCAGCGCAGGGAACACCATATGAAGTAATGCCCACCTCATACCACAGACCATCGGTGCCCTTACACTGTAGTGGTCCACCAGAATCACCCTGACAGGTGCCGCTCCCACCACTTCCACCACCGCATACATTGGTCTCAGGGTTTACTCGCGTAAACACTAACCGACATTTATTGGTGTCCATCAATGGTTCGGACACTTTCTGAAGGATCTTTGCCTGCGGACCCTCTTTCGTATAAATCATTGTAATTATAACATTAATTATATTAACTGATAACTGATGTGTTGACAAACCTTTGTTTAAATATCCAAAACCAGTCGCTATACAATTGTCAGTCAATTTAGTAGTCTCTGTAGCCCTGCATATGGGCTGTAAATTGTTGTCTTTCCCATTAAAATCAAGAGTATCCTTTAATTTAATTAAACCAATATCATTTAATGGGCCCCGAGGATCGGGGTCATAGCCTTCATGAAAAATAACCTGTAAAATTGTCATGGTTGTTTATATTGTAATTGAAAAATTGCTAAATACCATACAGTTTCTACTTTATGGTTGGATTCCTTGCCATCTTTGTTGTCGAGACTGATGTAACCCAACATAACCTCGTATTTGTCGGGATTGGATCCCATGGCCAGGCAGTGGGCGGCCGTCAGAATCCATTGTTGGTCGAGAACAGTGCCGCCGCACCACTCGGCGAATGATTCGCCGCCTTTTGTAAAGTATCTCTTGACAATCGCCTGCCACGGAAACTCACCACGAGCTGCATTTGTACCTGATACTATTAGAGCTCCGGGAGGCGCACTTTTAACACTAGAGCGCCCACACCTGTCCCACCCATAACACGAGTGTATATAGAATAATATAAGTAGAAAATAGTTAATTTTTTTTGACATTTATTTTGCTTGATATATACAGTATATTGTTATTAATTATTTAATTATTAATAATTGGGTTGTTTTTATTGCTTATTGCAAGTAATGTGTGAAATAATGCTTTGGTTTTGTAGTAACAAAGGGTTTACTGTAAGTAATAAATGAAATCAATTCTACATTTTATAAGAAGTGAATTCAGTTTATTGAGTTTATTGTATAATTATATAAAACATATCTCAATATTTGTGTACACAATGATTATGGCATAGATTGTACATATTATTCAATAGAAAACATGTGCGAAGGATCTGATTGACTATATAATAACTTATGGTAACTATCCATGTGGTAATTTATCAATTAACGTAACAATTTGTTCATAATTACGGTACATTCATTTCTTATCACTAAATTCATAAATGTTAATATATTTTGCAATACATTTAATAATATTCATTAAACTTTGTTTAGAATTGTAATTTTTAAAATATACTTTAAAACTTGTTATACTATTGATACATTACAAATAATTTTTATAATAAATAATCGATATAAAAATAAATAAATAACTAATTGATTGTTTATAACTATTAATATGAGCGCCACTACTGTCTCCGTCTCCGTCTATATATTGAATGGCTTTTTGAATCCACTCATCAAATCCGGCCACACGTGTGAACACATCTGGCCATTCGAGTTCAGCGCAGCCAACACCGTATGAAGTGATGCCCACCTCATACCACAGACCATCGGTGCCCTTACACTGTAGTGGTCCACCAGAATCACCAAAACAGGTCCCTTTACCACCACTACCACCAGCGCATACATTGGTCGTGAGGTTTACCCTCGGGTACTTTGATTTACATTTTGTTGTATTGATTAGGGGTTCGTTCACTTTCTGAAGAGACTTCGGGAGCGGACCATCTTTTGTGTAATATTTATTAATTTTAATTTATTTATAAACTAAATAACTGATTAAAAGTGTAATATTACCGCCACTTAAGTACCCAAAACCTATTGCCATGCAATTGTCCGTTAATTTAGTATTCTCTGTGGCCCGACATATAGGCTGTAATGTTGAGTGTTTGCCATTAAAATCAAGTTTGTCTGACAATTGAAGTAATCCGATGTCATTAATTAAGCCAAAACCGTTTTGATCGTAACCGTAGTGAACTATTATCTGAAACATGTCCATTAATATAATGCTAGAATTAAAACAATATTATATTCACATACGGTTTTCACTTTATGTTTGGATTGCGAGCCATCGGTTTGGTCCAGATTAAGGTAACCCAACCACACTTCGTATGTGTTGAGATCGTCGCTATCATTGAGACAGTGGGCGGCCGACAGAATCCATTGTTCATTGATAATAGTCCCGCCGCACAACTCAACCAATTCAGCGTCACCATCATCGATGATGTGTCTCATGATCATTGCCTGCCACGGAAATTCACCATGCTCAGCATCCACGCCCCCAACTATGTTCACTCCGGGCGTACTCATTGGGTTTTTGGCACTAGAGTTGCCACACCTGTCCACTCCATACACTATACATCTATTGATACATATTATTAACAAAGTGGTACTAATTTTGAACATTTTGTTAAATTTAGTATTGATTTAAGTATAGCTTTGTTGAAATAATTGCAATAAATGTACGAAATAATACATTTTGTCGATACGCTTTTCATTGTAATAATATCTCGTTTCTAAAAGAGTTTTTTGTGTAATTATATAATTGTTTATCTCAAGATTTTATGTACAGTACTATTCAATATAAAACAGATAAACACTGCGGGGGATATACCAATCATTTATTATCACCAAATTAATATAATACTTGGTATTTATTTAGAAAAATTTGTAAATTTGCAGCATATAATTCAGTGTCTAAATAATTACCTTATTATTATTATTATTATTATTATTATTATTATTATTATATAATATCTGGACAACTATTATTAATAATAATCAACATTTATTTAAAACATATTAATTAATTAATTATCTTTAATAACTTTCTGAATCCAATCATTATAAGTGGTAACCCTTGAGAAGACATCTTCCAAGTGGTCGTGATTACAACTGCCGGCGCTATAAGACGTGACCCCTAACTGATACCACTTGCCATCACTTCCCGGACAGATAAGGGGTCCGCCGGAGTCACCACTGCATACACCGCTCACTCCCTGACTGTCAGCTCGAGTACAGACTTCAATCGTGTCGTTATAAATACTTGAATATCTCTTCGCACATATGTTTGAGTCAATTATTGGTTGATTCAGTTTCTTCAGTAAATCCGGTCTCTCGTAATCTATCAAACATTTAATAAAACATTTTTAATAATGTTTACAATATTTAAAATAATAAATCCATGCCTTTATTCATTGCCCCAAACCCTACAGATAAACATTTATCGGACACTTTAGTGGCTTTATTTGGCACACATATGGGTTCTAAGTGTTTGTGTTTTCCATTGAAATCTAACGTTTCATTCAATTTGATAAGCGCTATATCGTTGGCCACTTTAGCCATATTCCACTCCGGGTGCTCTACCAACTTAGAGACCATTTATAAATATTAAAGTTAATTAGTTTTAAAGTAAAATATTTTACTCACAAGACTGGCAGAGAAATCATATTCCGAGGGCTCGTGTGCTGACCGATTGTGAACCCCTAAGCGAACCAAATAATCGCTTTTATTATGACTGCCGAGTAAACAATGAGCCGCTGTTAGGATCCATTGGTCGGCGACAATAGTGGCCCCGCACTGGTCGTCCCATTGGTCATCGATCCACTCGGCCAACAACGCCTGCCACGGAAACTCTCCCACCGATGCATAACTTCCGCCCTCTATTCCCGAGTTTATATGCAGTTTACTCTTAGATTTACCACAATTTTGCGTCAATTCTAAACCTTGTATTGAACTAATTGTTAGACAAATAAATACAATTATTGTGTGTGTATTCATGTTTGCAACCGATTGAATTGGTAAATGTAAGTTCTTGGTTTTATAATACAAAGAATGTATATAGTGTACTGTATTAATTTATACACTTATGGGAAATACATCACTTGTCTTGATATGAAGTTTACATGTAATTTTTATTTAAAATTAATCCAATAAATAAATTAGTGGTTATCTAAAATATGATATTGTCAAGGATAATCTAACATGTACTTTTGATTTTTGACTAATGTATTTACAATAAAGTATATTTAAAATTAAATATTTTATTTAAATTTTATTAATTTATTAATTTTTATTTTATTGATATTTAATATTTTATTATTAATATGATAAAGTATATTATAATTTTATAAAAAATTAATTTTAATTATTTTCAATGATGTTTTGCATCCAATCTCGATAATAAGCGACTCGTGTGAACACATCGGGTATATTTGGATGAGCGCAGGGGCGACCCCAAGAAGTCACACCCATTTGATACCATTTGCCCTCAGAATGGGAATAACACTGAAGAGGACCACCAGAATCGCCGACACATGTGCCCAAACCTCCGGCACTGTTACCACCGGCGCATATATTCCTCTCCATATCTATTGATTTCATTATTTGCAAACATTTTGTTAAATCATAAATCGGTTCCAAGACTTGCATTAGTGTTCTGTTGGAATCGTCGGCTAATTATTTTAATTGAATTTAATGATTAAAAAATTTATAATAATTAATCATTTTGTTTTACAATAACGTACATTTGCTTTGAGATCCATAACCAGTGGCCACACAATTATCTGTCGGTTTGTTTATGAGGTCCGGTATGCAAACGGGTCGCAAGAATTTGTGTTTTAATTTAAAATCTAACGTTTCATTTAATTTAATGACCGCTATATCGTTGATCTGTTTGTCATAATCAAAGTCTTGATGTGCGATAATCTACACAACCATTTGATTGCATTAATATAATATTAATTTTATTATTTAGATAATAATCAATACCTTAGAGGCGGATAATCTCAATGAATTTTTAGTTTTAATATCGAGATTGTTATAACCTAGATATATAAAGTATAATCTAGGATCTTTACTCGTGTGCACGCAATGAGCTGCTGTAAGAATCCAATTCTCGTTGATAATAGATCCGCCACAAGACATGAGAGGGAAGGGTTGACCATTAACTATGACCTCGATGTTAATGTTGGCCATCCAGGGCCAGTCGGACGCACTGGCAGTCTGACCGCCCACTATCTTACCGCCCGCTTTCTTATAGGCACTTTGCTTTAAGTTTTGTCCACAATTTTGTGGTAGTTTTAAACAATTTGCTAAATAAAACACTGTTATTAATATCGATATACAATAATATGATTTCACTTTGTTTTTAAACATTTTCTCTTCTGTTTTATGTTTTAAATATTTCATTAACGATTAACTCTAAATTTTGTTTACTAAAAATATCTAAATAATCATTTGTTTTTATATGTAATGTCTTATCAAAACAAATTGTTTTTTGTTAACTCAATACGGATGAGAAAGTAATTATTTATTTACATTGTTTTTATTTGTTGGTTGTCTTCGGAGTCGTAAACCAAGTTAAATGACATTACATTCAGTCTATTGTCTATGAGTTACGATTGAAACAAAAAATGCAATTATTTATTGCATTCATCAGCAAATGTTATGTATTTCTTGTAATTTTATTTGTCATTTGTTATTCTTTTAGGAATTAATATAAATTTAAGTCAAATCTAATCCTTTATTAATAATATTCTTTATAAATGTTTAAATATTATTTTCAAAATTTATGGCATAATTATTTAGGAATATTTACATTTAAGTAATTTTTAGTTTTGTTAAAACAGTTTAATTTCTTGTGTTATATTACATTTTAAATAGTA